TATATATATATATATATATATATATACATAAAAACACTAAGAAAGGACATTAACAACAATATTAAATTTTTTATTATTCATTTTCCTATTAAAAGAAACAACTAATTATCTGGCACAATGTGTTACATTAAAATGCATGTAGGTATTGATTTAGGTCATATATAAATTGTTTTTTTATTATTACTTACAATGTTGTAACATTACAGCTCTCAGAATATAAAATTCATTTTTGCTAAAAGATTAGATTCTGACAAACAATAAGAATGGCTGATTTTCATATAAAACTTGGATGTATAACTCTCAAAATTTCTAATATTTGATTTGATGAAGCAAGTACTCATTTATAGATGGCCATGAACCTATGATTATGTATAGTTCTTGTACATGAATTATAATTCTCTGAAAGTAAAGTAATTAAAATGTTTTCCTGCCAAGTACTTGCATTTTAAAAACATTTAAATAAATAGAATATTGTTTCAATAATAAAGCTTTAAAGCCATGATATAGAAAACAACTTAAAACTTGAAATAAAAATTTACATTTGCTATGTAATGATTATTCAAAACACAGCCATGGATTTTGCTTGAAGCTATATTCAAATTGATGATGAGGAACATACTTTAAGACTAATAAGGTTTAGAGACAGCTTGAATGTGTATAGAAGAAAACTTTATCACAGTAAAAGAAGTACAAGCCATCTCTAAAGTTTATAAAGCTACAGAATCTTCTACCTAGAAGTAGCAATTCGGTTTGTGCACCTTTAAGTCATATATGTTAGAATATGAAACATATTTGATCATATTGAATAATTAATCCCATACCCTAACTGAGTGCAGTAATTTCAAAAATAATGGCAATTACCAGTTTGATATAATTACTTGTAAAGGCAGCTTCTTATTTCAACTGAAATAAGGTAAAACTTATTAGTTTATTAAAGATTAAAAATGGACAAGTTTTGACTTACGACTGACATTTGGATAAATGTTCTTGCCAGAAATTATCAAATATTGGAAGAACATTTTCTGTTTTGTCTTCATGATTCAAGGACCACAAATCTGGGTACACCAAAGACCTTTTCCATCCCTGAATAGCTAACCTGTCAGAAAATGATGTTAAGAAATAGGAGATTACCCAATAATCGACAAGAAAAATTTATACATATCACAGACAAAGTTTTCTGCTTCAGTGTGGATCACATTTATTTGTAATTCCTAGCTTTAAAAAGAAGTTCTGCACAGAATTAATTTTTCAAATTCTTACTAAAATTTGAAAATGTATATGTTCATAATAATGACATGCACTAACTAAATAAATGAAACTACATCTGGGTTCTGAAGGACCACATGTTGGTGCATGTGAAAAGGCTAAGCTACATTATCAATGCTGTATTTTTTTTGTTCTTGCTAAATACATTAAGAAAACATTGGGTAGAATATTTTTTATCATTCAAAAATCAATAATTTTATAAATAAGCATTAAAAAAATCTTTAAATTATAATTTTGGATGAAACCATCTTAAAATATACACCCCCCCCTCTTCTCTAATTTATTCACTGCACCTCTAATAAGTACAAAATGTAACATAAATTACTCACTATAAAACCATCATCGCTCATCGCTGAGACAAAGCATAATTTTTACAGCCTTCAATCTTGTTTGGTTACAGAGTCATCAAATAGAAAATCAGACCCTCTTACCACACCCACCTGTCACATCCTCTCTTAAATTCAATAATATATTATTTATAATCATTAGAAAAGCCAAGGTTTTCATCTATCAAATGACATATTATGTTGCGTTCTGAACAGAAAATTATCACTTTCTCTTTTAGTACAAGCTTCATTCCCATGGGGAAGAGATTGACTAGCTTGGATGAATTTGTAACAGTTAGAAAGCCAAAACAATTATGATAGTTATGTGATATTGTCAGATTTTTGCATGTTATTATTCTACGTTCTTTAGTGCATTATTTAATTAAATAAAAATTATTAAGTGAACTACTAATATTTGTATAAAAAAAAAGTAGGGTTAAGTGTCATCGACATAAAAAAAAAGAAGGTCCAGGTAAGTACCTCATTTCTTGGTTTATGTTTATTCTTTATTTATTAGTATAAAAACAACTAAAATGTAAAAATAGGAATCTCTTTAGGTTAGTTAAGGTTAAATTAGGTAAAAGAAATTATAATAATAAAAAAATTTCATG